GATGTGCAGCGCCGTGTCCTCCGCGCCGCGGTCGGAGACGACCTCTCGCTTCCGGCCATCGTCGAAAAGATGGTCGGGAGCGAGGACGCCTGGGACGCCATGGTCTCCTTTTGCGAGGAAGTTATATCGCAGAAGGAGGCCGCGGAGAGGGTGAGGGAAAATGATCCGGATGCTCACCCTATCCGCAGGAGGAAGGGGGGTGCACGGAGGAGGGCCTATGCCCTCCAGAATCCGTAGCGCTCCCAGCGGGGATTAATTACCCCGCACTTCCTCCAGTGGCGGGCCGAGGGAGACTTTTTCTCCTTCGGCTAGGGGCCGTGGGGGTCTTCTGCGCTTGGTGAACGCGGAAGTTCCCCCCGCGACAACACGCCCCTTCCCAGAAGGATGGTGAGATTGGGTAACCAGGTCTCACCATCATACCTGTATGGGGGTGGGGTGATTATCATCCCAGCCCCACTTTCTACAGAGGGACCCCTCCTCAACTGAAGAGGGGTCGTAGCACGACCAGGGAGGGTCGCGGTTGATTGCGCAAGCGTTCCCGCGGCCCTCCCGATTGCGTGCGAAGTGGTTACCATGGGGTTTTAGCGGGTAGTCGGGACAGATAGTTCCCGGAGTCCCGCATAACCCCCCCCCATTCACCTTGGGGGGGTATGCGTCAATGCATTTCCCCATGTAAAAAAAAAAAAAAAAAAAAGGTTGTGACCGGATCCTCTCTGTGGCGAGCCACCTTGACGTGGTGGAGAGGCTTAGGTCGCCCCCGGTCTCCGGGCCCATCGGGCCCTCCGCTTCGACACTTAGGTGTCGAGGGGGGTCCGGTGGGTCATTCGGGCCCCCACTTCGACACTTTCGTGTCGGGGGTCCCGGCGATCGGGGGCGGCTGACTAAGAGCTCGCATTGCACTTCCCTCCCCGAAAGGGGAGGAAGGGGGGTTACGCTCCCTCCGGGCACTCTGGCCTGATGCGCATAGAGGTAGGTGGCCCTGACTACAATCGCCCGGGTTGAGGATCCCGTTAAGGGTGGAAAAACACCCCAATTCTCTTGTATCCCCAGCTCATGTTCCTCATCCCCAGACATCCTTCTCTGCCTCTCTCACCCATCCCTACCCTTACCTCCTTTTCCTTTCCATGACCCTTGGAATCCCAACTCCTGGTGTGTGAATGTGTGAGTGCATGTATGCTTTTGTGGGGATGGTGATCCCTCCAAAACCATCCCAGAGAGGCGTACTCTGGTCAAAAAAACGCACCATAGATCGACCATGGATATGAACTCGGATAAAGAAAACGAACTTACGGTGTTAGAAGGTGTTCGGAGCCTTCAGTGCCGGCGTAGCGGGGATATTGTCCCGGTCACTGCTGCGTCGTTATCGGACTACGGGCCACCCGAAATGTGCTCCGCAGGCATAACGGGGGAAATGACGTCTGCGAGGATGACAGCGGATTCCTTGGGAAGTACTGCTGCTGATGAGGATGATCCCGAACCTGGAAAAGAAAAGAAGGATAAAATATCTGGTGATGAGGGGGCATCTGCGGGATCAATTATAGACTCATCGGAAGATATCGATGCCGGGGAAAGTACTGTACCTGGTGAACAAGATGAAGCGACTGGTGATGATAATGTAATTGAAATATCGTCTGCTGGCCCGCCGAATAATACTGCCGTGGAGGTTGTTTTTGTACCTGAAAAGAAAGGAGACAATATGTTAAACAGTGAGGACGAAGCTGATGGAGATGCCTATGTGTCATCCTTAGAAGACCCGCCAACTCCTATTACAGTGGTGAGGCCTGGCCCGTTGAGTCAGCGTGGGATCGTTTCGTGTCGGGTAAATCTCGAACGGTGGGGTCCTGATGCTGCCACGCCTTGTTCGAGCGGTGAGAAAAAGAAGATGCATTCTGGTCGATCAAATGTAGAAGTGGCTAAAGTATGCGATATGAGACCGAAGGATAGTGTTGCGAGTGCGCACTTACGAGAAAGTAAGCCAAGTACATCCAGAACTAAAAGAAAGGCGGCCGAATCGAGCTCCGAAGCGGAGCCTATGAGTGAGTCTGCGAGGAGTCCTAAGATATTAAGGCCTCGTGGTGTAAGGACATTTAGTAAGTGTTCTCGGCCCTTGAAGAAAAAGATGAAATCGTCCACGAGAAAAAATTCTGATACGGCGGATGAACAGCCATCAGATGGTCATCAGGGGCGGTCTCCACAGACAAGTCCGCCGGCTGATTCTGGCCCTCTGAGTGAAAAGAAAGGCAAGAAGATGGTCGGTAGAAAGCCTTTCCTAAATAAGGAAAAGGTCTCGAACCGGCTAGTCATAGAATTCGAAGAGGTATCTCAAGATTTTGAGGAATTAAGAGATCGGTCTACCCCTAGTCTTAGTGCAATGGCACAGAGATGGATAGATGAAATTGATTTTATTAAAAAGAAATGTAAAACGATGCAGGGTCCCTTAATGCGACGCATGGCCGAGAGAACCGATCGCACTCACAAACCTAGTACAATTGATGGCTGAGCGAGTACAGGATAACGGAGATATCAGTTATCTGAAAAAGCAAAATATTGAAATGTCATCTAAGGCTGATATTTATGAGAAGGAAGTAACTAGTCTAAAAGGCGAGGTAAAGGAACTTACTGAGCTTATAGGTGAGTTGCAACAGAGAGCTTTAGTTGCTGTAGAGGAGAAAGAGAAAGCTGAGGCCAGTCGGCGTTATCTGTTAAGAACGAAGCAAGATAGGGCAACCTCCCCAATGCCACAGATTAGGGAGTCCCCTCTTCGCAGGACGTATAACATCTGTAATAGGTGTAGAGAACACACTTATCGGGATAGGGATAGTCTAATCAAAGGTAGGAAAGATAAAGGAAGTACTTACCTGCATAGTGAAGAATCCATATTGCCTGGTCCGTCGATGCTGCCTGATGAGTGTGGAGACGTCTGAGGAGTTTGCTCTGCCGGAGTCCATCGATGAGCCTAGAAAAAGAAAAGAAGAATTAGAGAAAAATAGAAAGGGTACTTACCTGAGAAGAGAGGAGTTTCTGCAGCTGAGCCGGTCGTCGCGTGATGTCCGTCCTGGAACGCCGAGAGAGATGGTCTGCTGAAGTCCCGCGTTGAACCTGGAAAAGAAAAAGAAGAGTTAGTAAAAAAGATAACGGAAGAGGTAATGAGACAACTGCAATTTGCTGAAAATAAGAAGTTGCCGCCTCAAATAACGAAGATGGAAGACCAAATGAGCCCTCCTCTCCCTCAGCGTACGCCGAGGGTTAGAGTGAGGAGCAACATACAATTGGTTCCCCCTCGCGACAATGCTCCTATTTTACGGCCCCTGCAGACTCCAGATGCCCCTGGGAGCATCGGTATGTCTGGCGGGGAGGCCGGAGACACAAATGACGAATGGAGCGCTATGAAAGGTAGAGATAGGTAGAAATAGGTGGAGGGAGAGGCGAGAAAGAAAAGCTATTCCTCCACCGCCGCTATCCATCGACTCTCCGCTTGTTACTGACACTCCTGAATCCAGGGAGCGCGGTCCAACGCCTAAGGTTTCGGAGAAAGGTCGGCCCGCTGTAAATAAAAGAAATAAAGATGTAAATAGTAGAGATAAGAATGTAAATAGTGTAAATAATACTAATAGACACAATACAGGAAAACGAGAAGAAAAGAATACGCGTCGAAGAGTCCCTCGTAGTGCAGCTGTGGCAATTAGAGGTGTCGCTGAGGGATTCTCATACGCTGATGCTATACGCATAGCGAAAGAGAATATCTCGTTAAAGGACATGGGAATCAAGAACATAAGGATTAAGAAGGCGCAAGGAGGTGCACTACTTATTGAAGTCTCGGATCCTGATGGTGGTGAACAAGCCGAGAAGCTAAAGAGTGAATTGGTCAAAGTATTAGGAGAAACGGCATTCGTAACACGTCCAGTCCGGCAAGGTGATCTCAGAATAATTGGGATTGACGAGTCGGTGACACCTGAAGAGGTAGCTGCCACAATAGCCAGTGTAGGAGATTGTAAAATGGATGAAGTGGTAACTAGTCCCATAAGACCCATGAGCAATGAGTTGTATATGACCTGGGTCAGACTCCCTCTGGCGGTTGCTGTCAGGGTGGTCGGTCGAAGGAAGATCATGATTGGATGGGCCACTGCCAGGGTAGAACTCTTAGATGCAAAGCCAATGCAGTGCTGGAAATGCTGGGAGTTTGGGCATGTGCAGGCAAACTGCAGCTCCAATGCCGATCGACGCGGATCGTGTTTCCGTTGTGGGCAAGCGGGGCAGGTTGCAAGGAATTGCCATGCACAGCTGAAATGTGTGTTGTGTGCGACTGCGGGAAGGGATGCGCGACACCGTCTTGGAGCGGTGGGTTGTGGATCCCTTCCTAGTAAAGAGAGCCTGAGTCGGAGACAGGGTACGAGGGTTGGCTTGGACAAATAAATGCGCATTCTTCAATGCAATTTAAATCGAAGTCGGCCTGCGTACGACTTGCTTATGCAGCACATAAAGGAATGGAATGTCCAAGTGTGCCTAATTAGGCACTATAATAGTGTGCCTATTGCTGAGCCGCCATATAGTCTACAAGATGGCCCCGCGCTGTCCCAGTGTAAAAAGGGATTGGCTGCTGTCTGGTGGGATTGTCGCGCGAATATCGGGTCAATAAAGGTCAGGAAGAAGGGTGATGGCTTTGTTGTTGTGGGAGTTAAATCCATGGACATAATAAGCTGTTACCTATCTCCGAGTGACTCCGTACAGCGAATGATCCGGAGACTCGATGAAATGGCGGAGTTTCTTCGATCTACGGCTTCGGAAGCTATCATAGGCGGAGACTTCAATGCTGCTTCTACTTTATGGGGAGCTCGGGTTGCGAACACGAGAGGCGACCATGTCGAGATATGGGCGGCTGGCTTAGACCTAAGGATTTTAAATGTTGGTGATGTGTCCACATGTGTACGTCCGCAAGGGTCATCGATTGTAGATTTGACTTGGTGTACGTCGAGGCTCGCTGGTAGAGTAGCAGAGTGGTAATGGATACTGAGACCTTGTCGGATCACAATTATATTATGTTCGAATATGGTGAATCTCCAGTACTCCCTAGTCGAACACCACTAGGGTGGAATTCGAGAAAGATGGATTTGGACAGGTTTCAGGCCTCTTTGTCTTGGAGATGTGCAACATGTCACTTGTCGTTGGAAGACAACACAGCTGAGGAATTCGCGGATTGGATTGCCACAACAATGCGCGATGCGGCAGATTGCAGTACACCTAGATTGGTAAGACAACTGGTTAAAAGATCTGCATACTGGTGGTGTGACGACATCAAGAACTTACGATCGGAGGCTATTGCTAATAGACGCAGATGGCGTCGAGCTATTGGTAAGCTTGCGCGTGGCACTATAGATCAACTGGAAGTAGATAGATGTCAGCGTTCTTATCGGCTAGCAAAGAAGAAACTGCGGATAGCAATTGTTGCCGCAAAAGCCCGTGCATGGGGAGAGCTGCTTGGTCTTATTGATGAGGATCCTTGGGGCCTCCCGTACAAGTTGGTCTTGGGCCGACTGAGATTAGCAACTCCTGCGCTAACGGAAACTTTGGACCCACCAGTAGTACAGGCGTTAATCGATGGCCTTTTTCCAAATGGAATGGAAACTGATCCGCGTGCAATCTGGTCTGTCCCCTTCTGGGACGATCAATGTATAGTTGATGCTGCGGAGGTACATCGGGCTATCAAGGATAGTGCTCATAACTCGGCGCCGGGAGTGGATGGTATTCCCTTAAGTGTACTAAAATTGGCTCCCTTGGAGATGATAGAGAAAGTCGCGGAATGCTTTAGATCCGGCACTTTTCTGAGAAGATGGAAACGAGCTAGACTCGTGTTGATCCCAAAGGGGGTTGCTCCTGAGGGAGAATTACCCAAGGTAAGGCCAATTTGCCTACTTATGGATATTGCCAAATTGTTGGAGCGGATCATCGCTTATAGAATAAACGCCTGGATGGCGGAATCCGAGGACGCTGCCCTATCCGGAGATCAGTACGGCTTTGTAGCTGGCAAATCTACATGCGACGCCTTAATGAGGTTAAAAAGCACTGCGGAAATGGCTTTTCGAGAGGATGGTGTTGTTTTGGCCATCAGTCTCGATATTTAAAATGCCTTCAATTCGATTCCGTGGCCAATCATCAGAGAAGCGATGATAAGGAAGGAGTTTCCCGATTATTTGAAACGGATTATTGACGGATACCTGTATGAGAGATCCGTAGAATACACTACATCTGGTGGTATCCAGGTTAGGCCGGTGATGGCAGAGGTGCCCCAGGGCTCTGTCCTGGGCCCCCTGCTATGGAACATAGATTACGATCAGGTTCTCCGTAGCGAAGTTGAGTACGGTTGTGAAATTGTATGCTATGCCGATGATACGCTGATCTTGGCGACGGCGGATACAATTGATACGGCAGTTAGACGCGCTAATTTGCAGGTTGCGAGAACCCTAGACAGAATTGGCATTATTGGGATCAGAGTGGCCACCCGAAAAACGGAACAACAGACAAGGTGTTCTTTTTCTCCTCAATTCTTCTGCTAATATCTCGCAGGGCGGCTTCTGAGAGATCGATCTCCTTAATCATCCTGGTATCCATAATGATATCCAACTCTGAGTCGTCCTCCCCAGATCGAACATCTTTCTGCGAGCTACATCTTTCAACTTTATCAGTTATTGTCTCATCTTCACAATTCGGTGTAATGTCCCTTAGTACACTAAGCTCCGCGTCCATATCCTGCTCACGTGCGTCAAAAACCCTAAGTCGGTGGATTAAGTATGTTCTAGCCAGACACATTTGTTGGCCATAATCGTATAATTTCAAACATGCAATCGTAGCGCGTATTTTATTCCTTGACGCATGATTCCCTCTTCTCGAAAAGTCATTTTCTATCATATAAAGGTTATGTACCGCACGGCCAAAAATTTCTTCTGGTGTTTTTTGGTTACTGGCCATTGTGTGCATATATGCCTGTATATCCAGGATTCTGGCCATTTTGTCCCTAACACTCAATTGATGAGACTATTTCCAGGTATAAAAACAGCAATCGGAATACAAGTTATTCTAACCGGTTGGCCTACCATATGCCTTAATCATATGGGGGTCACCATGCAGCATCCCGCGCTGTACATTTTACCCCAAGAGGATTTTTACAGGCTCCGGTAGAATATAAGGCATCGGATCAATCTGAAGCTATTGCCAGATCGCCGAGCCATCCTAGAAAGCCCAGTCGCCTCTACTAAGTCCAAGTATATGGCAGCGAACTAACTATACCAGCCGATTATACAGGACAGGACACCTCAAACTATTTGGGGAAAGTCACTAGGGTCTAGTTAGTTTTTTTCCGGGACAGTCGTAAACCACAGTCAGGAACTCAATCCTTACCACGCAGCCGTCAAAGTTCGCACTTCCGGTATGCGGATTCAAGTACTTCGAACAATGACTGACATGATGGAACGGTCTACCCGTCAGAGTTCGCCTTCTGTCCTTCTTTTCACCCTACTTCCGATTCTATTGGCTATCATTCTCCCGGAATCAATCTGGTCACGATCAGGAATATAATGTAATCCAAGGAAAATAGAAAACAGGTCATCACAATGTCCTGTGTACCAGTAATGGTCCTGGGTCACCCTAGCTACACTATTATAGGTCTCCAAGGAGGAAATTCCCCAGATTATAAGTCCTCTATGGGAACTCACTAGGCCCGAAGATCAGTACTCACCAGAATCCACTGCCCCTCTGTCGGTGATCCCACTTCCCACTCCCAGTTCCAGGCTGTATGGATGGGTATCACCTTCCGCTAACAACACAGGATCCACTGTACATCCGTTACTGATCCCATTTCTAGTAGGCTGTACAAAGGAGTATCGCCTTTCAGTAATTATTCGTCCAATGCGCGTCCTTTAGAATCTGCCCAGGTCCACCGTGCCTCCATCGCAGATCCCAACCGGCAGTGCCAATCGAGGGGGCACTGCCCCCTAACTCCTATCCACCTAATGCGCATCCACAAAAAGCCGCCCACTCTCACTGCGCAGCCACTCAAGATCGCACTTCCGGTGTGTGGATTCTGTTGATTCAGGGAATAGTCAACACTGTAACATAGTTTTTTCGTCAAAATTCATCTTCCTTCTCTCTATTTACCCCCACTTCCGGTTTACTAGTCTGTCGAAATCAAATTGATCATAACCGGTAGTACGTTAGAGTTCGAAGAAATGATCGCCCATACTATAGATCCTCACTGGGGAAACTCCCTAGCCCCAGCAAATATCAGCGTCTAGTGAAATTTACTTAAGTCACGTTTATAAGTCGTAATATCCGTAACTTAAGGTTAAAAATGACTCTACAAGACTTGTGTGCTGGGCATTGACTGTATTCACTCTCGCGAACACCTGCCACTTTCACTCTCGCGTACACCTGTCACTTTCACTTCCTCTTGTTTCTATGTAATTGTCAGGTAAGGTCAGGCGAATCCAGCCGAACAGCCTATGTTTTTAGTCTGGCAATCTAAATTTACGTTTATATACTCGTACGTCCTATGTAATGTATCGCTCTTATAACTTATTAATATATATATATACAGGATTACACAGTGTCCTATGTACAGGCCATAATTCTGTACTATACTATGGGCTTTGTTGCATATACTATAGGTCCAACTAAGGAAATTCCCCAGACCGCAGATAAGCAATAAACTCAACTATGTCTCAGTAAAATCACTAGAGTCTCTAAGATAGTTAATCAACCAACCACCTATTGCTTTTGAGTTAACAATAACAGTGAAGTTGGTGTACATCCATCCGAATCACTGATCGACTATTGGATTCTTCAAGATTCAAGATTCCAGACTCGATGCAACCACTAGGTAAACCTGTTCCTTCGAGCCATAGCCGCTGGGCTCTCTATGTTTATATTTCAAGATCTTCGTTTTAATTTCAAATGCCACGTGGCAGTATCACTGGAGAAATGTCACTAGGCCCATCAACTTGATCTACACAAACTGTAGCTTCCCTAGGGATATTTTTCCGAACCAAGGATGTCAATATTCATATACACTATCGTATGATTTTACAAGTGAGGTTAGGTGTACAGCTATCCAGACAATCAACTAACAATAAGCATAGTTGATTTATCACAATATAGCATTCAAGGTTTCAATTGTTCATTAACTTCTGCTGGTCGACACCTCGGTGCATCGATGAGTCGATTTACACTTCAGATGCCACGTGGCAGTGCCACAAGGCAGATGTCTCTAGGCATCAACTTAATCTACACAAACTATACACAAGCTATAAATCCCCATGGGGATTTTCCACACACTGTCACTTTCTGTCTAAAAATGAGGTTATGTGAGCCCTCATTCAGGCAGAGAACTAACTATAGATTTTGTTGTTTTCCAGAGTTTCACCACCACTAGAAAATCTAAAAATAATCCACAAAATAATCTTGTCCCCTCGAATTACGCTCCCAAAGCTCCTAATTATTTTAAATATAATTAATATGCAAGGTTTCTACAGATTAGTAACTTTACAGGAACGATACATCGATACCTTGATGAGACAAGTCATACATCAAATGCCACGTGGCAGAGTCACAGGCAAATGTCACTAGGCACTTCTTTAAGAATATTTAATAAAATACAGCTAATAGGCATTAATTATATATCTTTATTATCAATAATCAATCACCGACTACTAAACAAGAGCAAGTTCACCACTTGGATCTCACATATCACAGATATTCGGAAGTATGAAATACCACGTCATCACCATGGGACGATGAAGCCGGGCTGCAATTATCCATCAATTCTTCACATCAGCAGCATCCTCCGGCACAGCCCACATAATATACACGTCACAAAGCTTCACTCTTTTAAGACATAGCCTCAAAAAAGCTCCCCGTGTCGCGAATAATCGAAAAACTCAGTTTTAAAAATTCCCGAACGCGCACCACCGACCGCGCACCAACCAATCTCAACCTAACCTAACCTAACCTAACCTTGAGACCGGCGGTATCTCCGGCCCCCGAGGGAGGCGATTCAACCAGGTCGTCGGTTTCAGGATCGCCGGTGCGAATGGTGACCGAGGTGGTCGCCTATCACACGGACCCGGAAGGGAACAAGGTCCCGGTGCTGCGACTTAAGAGGGCGACGCGCGAAGACGACGGCGCTCGACCGGGCTGCTCCAGCTGGAAGTAGCATCTGCAACAGAGAAAGACTTTGTAAATAAAAGTGTGTATATCTGTATATAGACTATAGTTCCTAGTTTATTTCCCGAATGTACGACGCTGTTGCGATCGCACAGCGGTGCGAGATACTTTATGTCACGTTATCCGCGAGAACTTAGTTTCTCGATTCTCGAGTCGCGGACTGCGATCCCGACTATAGCAACGTCGATCGTTTATTTTCTTTTTCGCCCCGGGAGAACCGCGGAGCGTGTAGACGCCAGACCGGCGTTCGTTTTGTTTTATTTCTATTTAGTTATTCCGTCCGTATATCGAGACCGGACTTGGCGGGAAATCCGTTACGGGTCGCGTAGAGGACTTTCTCGCGTTATTATTTTTAATTTCGATTTTCGTTTCCCGAGCGAATAACGCGCTCGGACTCGGCGGGAAATTCATTTCGGCGTGTACGAGGATGATTTCCGCGATAATATTTTTGATTTTGATTTTTTCGTTGCCGACGGAATATCGGTTCCGGACCCGGCGGGAAATCCATTTCGGGGTAAATGGAGACGGCTCCCGCGATATTCTTTCTTATTTTCGTTTTTCACTTTCCGAGCTCGTATCCGACTCGGACTTGGCGCAAAATCCGTCTCGACGCGTGCTGAGGCCGATTTTGAGAAAAAATTCTCACTTCCGGTTTTGAGATCCCGTGGGAATTTCGACCCCGGACCAGGCAGGAAATCTGTTTCGGGACCCCGAGAGTCGAAATACGTCACTTTTGAAAAAAGTGCAAAAGTGCTCCGAAAAAGTGCACTTCCGTAAAATCGAACGGGGAACGCGCGGGGAGGCTTCCCGTCAAAGTGCGACGCGCGCGAGCGCATTTTGCGATCTACACCCGAAAGTGCAGATAGCGCGAACTTCGGGTGATGTACATATATACCTTATTTTTAGT